ATCACATCACATCACATCACATCACATCACATCACATCACATCACATCACATCACATCACAGCTGATCGCATTGCGTTCCCGAGCTTGTGTTGAATTCCCTATACTGCATTCGCTTACAATCGAATTGTCTTTGTATTGCATTAAATTACTCTGTTAAATTACTCAAATTACTTAAATTAATCTGCTACCTTTACAATTTTCTTGTATTGAAATGCATTACAATAAATTACATTACATTACATTACACTACATTGTACCTTCCACGAAACATTAAAAGAAGATGTATTACTACCAATGACGTAGAAGATTGAATCCCAGCTGACATTGTGACAGAGGCTGCTGCCGATAGGGAGAACAAGTGCTACGCCGATATGAATGCCTGCCGCTCCGAAAGACACTAGACTGCTTCTCTCGTTGGGAGGCGCCCAGGTGCCCATTAAGCCACTAAAGCACGGCAACGCTGCACCCTAGACACAAAGAAACATGCTTGCTACTAAATACCAACGAATATTTATGCATGCAATCATTAAATTGGATCAATTTGGAACTAGGTGCACGTACACATATAAAACACATTAAAAATTGATCATATGCTACATTTATTCTAAACAAAAGCGGCCCTGTTATCAGACTAAAATAATAATAATCATGATAATTATTAATTCCTACTTCCTTTATGCAACGACGTATGTCGATATTTACACCTTAAAACTGCGCCAATTGCGCATAGCATTGCAGTGCAGCCTATCGAACATTCAATCAATCGATCATCGACTAATTCTACTTACTCCGCAAAGACCAATGAGAAACCGCATCGCGAGCAGCGCCCTCCAGTCTTGCCGCGTGGCGAGAGGACAGAGCATCGTCAACACGGCGCCAGAGAATTGAAACCCCGCGTACGTCCATCGCGGCCCGTACTTCTTGGCGAGCCATCCGCCCGGGATCTGCGTGATGATGTAGCCCCAGAAGAACGACGACAGTATCAGGCCTTGAGTGTGTTTGTCCCACGTAAACTCACCGTCCGGCTGGACAAAGACGTGAACAAAAACATGAGAAAAAAGACGTGATCACTCATTGGTTTATGAACTACAGTGCAGAAATCAGTGGGTTAGATTCCCGACAATGTAATGTCATCGATGTCGAGCATGCGGATAAACGATCATACGTTTATTTGAGCACAAGTTGCTTCTATTGAGATAAGACACTACGTCAGACTGCCTATCACACGGAGCGATCATTTCGTTCGGTTCTAGGAAATAGAAAACGTATTGAGCGCAATGGTAAGAGCTGATGAGCGTGGAACTATTGAGATCTTCAACAAACGTAAAGACGGATCTGAAATGAGCAGTCAGCGCATTATTTTCATCATTCACTACGTGGCGTGTTCACGTAAGAAGACGCGTGTGCGCGCATATATATAAGCGCGGTGAGTGTCATCGCCGTATATATATTTACGTCTTGCCGCTGCGTAATGTTTCGCCTGCACTGCTCTGACACGGTGACGTCGGACGGTATCTCCTGCTGTAACGCGGTGTGGTTGACCATGCAGACGATCGCTACGCTCATATCCGAGCGCTGCATGGAGAAGCAGACGAACATCAGAAACGACAGCAGCACCACCTGCATGCGGTATGACGTCCAGTAAGGACCTGTAACCAAGGTTTGCAATGTTAGCAACCGTTTATGCAACTCATTGTGTTATAGAGGTAGAAGCAGGCTTGGGAAATCTTTATTGGTGGTTGTTATAAGTATACCCAGTTTTAGTTGCTGGTTTACGCTTTTCCAAAGATAAAATTCATGTGTCTTCACGCCTTATGCCGTCGTCTAAGACGTAGAACAGCGACGAACCCGACATATAAACGGAAGCATGCACGAGATAGTTTCAAAGATGCGTGTAGATCCGCTGAGACAGGAATGTCCATAAAACGACCACCTGGCCTTTGGCTTTATTCAGAGCACGATTGCATGTGTTTTACACTTTTCTTCAGTAAAATTAATGATGCGGATTGCGTCGAGATTTGCCAAACATATTGCAGCGTTGCGTAATTAATACACACTGATTTCGTTAATCATACGACGCGCCTATTATATAAACAGTGGGTAAATAATCCAAAATTCGTTATTTTTGTCCTTGATGTCGTCGAGGTAGGAAGTAGCATTTGTCATCTGTCTCCTGCTCGTTTAGTACGGAAGGGTGGATGATTGATGGGACCTCATTCCTATTGCCCTTCTAGGATGCATTGCATTTATAAGTATTTATGTATATATGGTGCACTGTAGATACTTCATATGGCAGTGCAGAATCACCTGACGAGACTAGCTGAATGCATGCAGAATATACTATATTTAAGGAGCGAGTGAAGACAGATTATCTGTCATCATCTTTCCATATGATTCGATATTATTTCCATATTATTCCTCGATGATATTCTGCGAGATCGCGAATTTATGCGCGTAAGATTCCCACACTGTTCGCATGAAGGCGATGTAAGCAGTTGTGACGCACCACGATTTTTAACATGCAAGATGTATAGGTTTTTGAGCAAACCTAGTCATCGCTCTTTGACGCCAAGAAGCATATTCCTCTAGGCACTGTACGACAGACACATGCCGCATGATAATACAACTGGTATTATAACTATTTGCTGTACACGTTACTGACGTTTTTTGAACAGACGGCATTAATACAGCTGACGATAGTGGTGAGCCTGAAGGTGAGGATGATGGTCATGACGATGATGATGACAATGACAACTATGATGATGACAATGGCGAAGTCAATGCTATAAGTAGCGGCGTCGCCTACCGATCTGCCTACCTGTATCGTTGTCCTGTTTTCCCATGGCTATATACGTGCTTCAACCTTGTAGAATAACAGTTCCTCGCGAGCAGCCGGGGCGACGGCGACGATCTAACTGTAGATTCGGATAAATATTGCGCTAAAAATCACCCAGCAATACGCGCATATACGTATAGAAGCACGTATCCTATGCATACGCGCATGTCCTGGTTGGCACCAAAATATCGTTGATATATCGAGGGCTCGATGTGCGGGGTAAATGTGTTTCTACGGGCTCAGCAATGTCATTATCGTGTTCAGAACTAGGACAAAATCTATTGCCCTATATTTTTTTTATACACGAACACTTGTTCAGCGTGCTGGTGCGCAAGCGCGATTCCGTCGGCTGAAGCGCATATGTCAACATTTTATCGGCGTCTCACGATCTAACGTAACTGCACTCAGTTCGGTCAATTAGCATTGCTAAAGTAACGACGCATGATTCACAACATCGAGACCGATTAGATCGCAGGCACGAAAATAATGCCAGTCGCCAGCAAGTATATGCGGTCTACTTTCTTGCGAATCGGGTCCAGTTGCCCCACAATCGCAAGAAAGTTAAACATGTTCAACTTGCGGCCAAATGGGTTTTGTTCAGTTGCCATCAATCGCATGTGCGCATACATCAGCAAAACCCCACGTGCGTCTGCGCGTTATAGGGTTATATACCGCTGAATGTTCCTATAGTCGACAAAACCCATACGGTCTATCGTTTCTTACCGTCGCGTGGCAAAAATACGCTTACCTTCACATTCCAGCAGTGAAATGTTGTTAAATTCTACTCGCCCGTCACAAGTTCGCTCACCGAGCTGAGAAACGTCGTGGGTTCAGTCAGTCTAGCAGGTATTTTGCTCGCAACTAACAGAAACAACTGGCACATGGCAATGTCACGCGCCCTTAGATATTCGGAGTAGCCGTTGTGTGACACACGGTTGTGCTTGCTAATGCGTGACTTCATGCACACCTTAGACGGCCAATGGGAAGATATGTCACAAACAACGATTTGTCGCTGTTATAAACGGGAATAGCACCCAAAATTTTCACGCGAGCACTTCTGAACGAACTATTGCTCAAACCAGTCGAGCTTCAAAGAAGGTCAGGGTTTTTTCCAAATCATCTGTATTACCGTATCTTGACTAGATGTATATTTAATTAATGTTAATTAATATCTAATTGATGTTATATGGTTTTATAGATGCTCTACACGTGGAGACATATCGGGGAATCATTGTTCCGCTAAAGGAAAGCCATGAGTCATCTTTGGCTCAAAATCATCCGTGTTGCGGAATATTTCTGAAGATTTTTTTAACAATTAATTTTTGGTAATTATTGAGATTTGATAGACTAGATAATCCTATACTATGAGGTACTTTAGTCGTGACGCTGGGTGAGTATAGACTAGGATAATCGCTATAAATAAAGTTCGAGAGGGAGAACTTGTCTTCGTTCGCACTGCTAATTATGCCTCGGATAGAAAAACTATCGACATAAAGATGTGAATGGTGTGCAAAGTTAATAGGTTATCTATACAGGCTAATTTTGTGCACAAGATCGTCATCATTTGGGTTATCCTCGTCGATATTCAAGAAAAGCACGTATGAGAGTCGCGACTTATATACGAAAACATGAAATTTATTTCACAAAATTTTCACCAGCTTCGATAACTTTACAAAAAAGGGCATTTTACAGATGTTAAATAAATACATCTCCCACGAGACTAAAATGGTCGTCTACACAAGCAAGAAGGTTCACCGGAATTCAATAATTATTTGCCCCTAAAAGTTGACGTTCATGCACGCGTGTACATTTTCATGCCGCTGGGGATTATGAAAGAAGATTACCAGTACGAGATTTTTGCAACCGATGAAAGATTTTTAACGCTTAATTTTCGTTTATCAAAAAGGAGCAAATACAAGATCACATAGCGAGATACTTGATGGCTTAATAACACTCATTTACGCGTTTACACGTTATTATACAATTGCCACTTCTAATATACATTATGAAGTAAGCGAACAAAGATAATGAAAAATATTGGTTAAGAAATTTCAGCCATGGCACTATTATAGAGTATCTGTGTTAAATTACTCGTATACATGTATCATTATTAAATTCCACGGGTCCGACCTTTTGTCTTGCGTGGGAAATTTAAATGCGCGTTTCGGAACAAACCAAAAATTCAACGGGTGGATGTCAATTTAAACATAAACATACACTATACAACATACTTTGTATATAACTAGCAAGCATAAATTTATCGTTTGGTATGGCACACGATATACACAGATGTGTTATTACAACTACAGGTATATTACCCAGCATGTTGCATTACGTCCAGATAAACGCCAGAAGGTGGCGCCTGCGTGCAGTTCCTAACGCCTCCGTCAATCCTATATGGCGTTACTTCATTTAAACTCGTTTTTCTTTTTAATATTTGCGACGGGGTTCCACAGATTTTTTAACACTAATGATGTGATTGGTACTACTGTCACACATACGTACACACACACACACACAGTTATATATATATATATAACACGGGTATGTACATTAATAGATCTAATTCACTTCGTGGCATAACTAAATCCAATTACAAACGGCCATCGAACATGGAATTGCCCTCAGTACGAGTCGGTAGGAAATTACGAGGTACGAGGCAAGTCAAAAATCATATGACGATTCTTGTATTTGCTCAAACACCTATCCTGCACACTAGACTGCACGCGTCCTGCACACTAGGCTGCACGCGTCCTGCCCTCTAGGCTGCACGCGTCTTGCACACTAGGCTACACGCGTCCTGCACACTAGAATGCACGCGTCGTGCACGCTAGACTGCACACGCCCTGCACTCTAGGCTGCACACGGCCTGCACGTTAGGCTGCACGCGTCCTTCTAACTCGGTGGAGATCCACACTACAGGCATTATCGGACATCACTAGAAGTCATTTTGTAGGGTAAAAAAGAGAGCAAGAGAGAAAGAAAGGCGATAAAAAAAAACACGAGCAAAGACGCAGGGATTGATAGACCAGTTACCGCGGACCGACTCGGTACAGTTACGTGGGCGATGCGCGGTGTTAATAAAGCAACACTGCGCGCTGGTTCGCGCTTCTGTCATGCTGGCATCGTCGACGTGAGAATCTCCGCTAGGGAGGCACGAAATGCCGACAAATATAGATAGATTCATGTCCGTATGTCCCGGGTTTTCATAGCACATAACGTGGAGGCCAGCCCCTCTGCCATCAGCGATCAAACTCTGAACTTTATATCCACAAACTTGTTTGCTACATTACACGCAGATGGGAACACAGTTCCCCATGTGTTATTCGATTAATCTACTTAAGCGCTAAACAACAGTTTGGTATTCGACGTTGTTGACGTGTATATATTCTTATAATATAGCTCATTTATACTGTACAATAACAAGAACAAAACGACGCACGGGTACAAAATACCTCTCACATTTCTCCTGTGATAAGTCGGAACTAACCCTCAACTTTGGAAATGGTCGTTACAGCGCCACACGCTATCACAAACAGACGCGCATTTGCGGCTGCTTATCAATGCAAGCCCCCCACAGACAACGTTTCGGGTAGAACATCGAAATGGTTGGAAGCAAAATGACCGTCTGGCGGCAAGTTAAGATGCGTCGGGTGCGGATAACCCCATTTGGACGTTTCACATAACACAAAACTCAAACAGTCTTCTCAACTACTCAAATAAATTTTACAACATGTTAGTTAGTCCATAGCTAGCGGCCCATTAGAACCTGACCAATCTCGTTCTTCGCGAAAGCATAAAGTACACAGGCGCCGCCGGCAAGCGCCGCTGAGGAGAAAGCGATCCTAAAGACCTTGAAGTCTTTCGGAATCGTCATCACCGTTATGCAGGCGCTGTCGTCGCCCTTGCCGGGAGCAGCGGCGAGCGCGTCGCCTATAACGATCGAGACGCACAGAGTGTAGTTGGTGCCGGGCTTCAGATGGTCGACGACGTGGTACCTCGCCATGTTGTTCAGCTCGAAGCTCTCAACGATGTCGCCGTAGTCGCCCTCCTGCTCGTAGACGCGGAATCCGGAGATGGCGTCCTTGATTGTCGACTTGACGTGCCAGCCGATGGTGATGTACGTCTGCTGGCAATCCATCTGGTACAGCTGGATGTTGCCTTCGAACGTCGGATCGGTCATCGGCGGCCACGTCTTCGGCGAGTACGTCGTCTCGATGATGATGTTCGGCTGCGCCGACGTCGTCGGTTGTCTTGTCGTCGTCGTCGGCTTCGGCGTCTGCCTCGGCGTCGTCTGCCTCGGCGTCGTCTGCCTCGGCGTCGTCTGCCTCG